TTGGTTACCTCCAACCATGGGAGTACACCTCCTAACTTTGTCCCGTTGCCTTGTGGATTAGAACTTTAGATCAAAGGCTCCAGGCGTGGCCCTCTAAGAAAATCACCTACTTCAGTTTAGGCACCCAGACAGTATTCCAGCCTTCACACAAACTGAATGATTTATGTGTCGCATATCTATCTAGTGTCTCCTTGTAATAATGTTTATGTGTTAAAACAATAATAATAATAATAATAATAATAATGGTAATAGTAGTCGAGACATACTACCTTAATCATGTAATAAAATCTGTTCCTATTCACAAAAATTCTAATTCAATTTTTTATATTTACTAATTTCGACATACTGATAACAATGGTCTTTTTTCTTTAACAGTAATATCAAAATTCTCAGTTTGTCTTGAATTAATCGTCTCAACTGAGTCACTAAGAAACACGGAACAAAACTAACTTAACTGTAACTAAGGAACCAAGCAAAATTGGATATACTTGAGAAATACACAGATAAGCAAGAGGATATTGGGATGAAAGTAGATGCAACACCTCGACACACTTTACTTTATAATCTACTGATAATGTAAAGATCTAATTTATATACATAACGTAGAGTCTATAAATGTTTTCTGTCTATTTCTGATTATTAGATAAGCATAAAACAACTAACTATCCCAGAATTTTGAGACGTGAAATATGATGAGCATTTCAGTTTTTACCACGTCAAATCAATCGACCGAAATCAGGTCGATGAAAATATGCTCAATATCCTACCATTTTGTTTTTTTCTCTCAAATATACGTTTCACGGTCCAATTATCTGAACACTTCTTATTACGTAATCTTACAATTTTTATGAATGTTATTTCAGTGTCTGTATTTTTCTAATCATTGACCTATTTCCCATTATGTAACATTGATTCAAGCCTTTATTATTCTTATCACAACTAGTACACCTGTCACCACACTACCACTTTCCACTTATTATGTTTATTTATGTGATATATTCCACTGTTATCACTGAACCATAAACTACCTTGATTGGTTTAATATTTTCGTATATGCATATAAACATTATTGTATATCAGGGTAAAGCCTGATGAGGATCTGATCGAAAACAATATTGTTCGCTTGTATATGTTGTTCTAAATCATAATATGGGAATTTTTCAAATTTTGATATCGTACAGTCGAACAGTATACTAGACACCGTTATTCTTAAACATGAAGGGAAGTAGTTCGTCAGGAACTCCTACTTAATCTAGCTAAACGTTGGTGATAAATTCAATTGAATGATTTGCTTAGGCGACAAAACATTTGAAGCTCTGACCTAAGGAATTAGTCCACCAGCAGTGGAGCCACGTTAGAGATTCATTTCAGTGAGGGCTATTGACCAGAATAAGTGAATTACACATGTTTCTCTACGTTTGTGTGCAATAGTACCCCAGAAACAAACTTCTGATTTCACAGGCGACATCACGTACCTACAGGCTCAACACAAATCCAAAACCTAAGCGTTTTCTCTTAGACCTTTGTGCTGAAATATCAACACAAAGAGTAAAACTTAGCTGTGATAGGGTATTAAACCCAGGTTATGTGAAAACATTACAAAGGGTAATTGGAATTTATTCATCCTTAGCTTTACCAGGGTATTCGAAACTTAAAACTGGGAGTTGAGCTGAAAGTTTTTTACTTGATGTGATGCTACTTTTTTAATCATAAAAATTCGTGCAATAGTAAACAATAGCTGGTAAATTGTCATCTTTCAACAAACATTTCCAGCCTGAAAAATTTATTTAGGAGTAAGTAGAATCTAAATTATATTTACTCGAAGTCATTTGAAGAAGTATATAGACCCATCTTTCTTTTGGACCAGTAATCCCCTACCCACTAAAAATTTCATCATATAGTCGTATTTAACTCAAGCACTTAGCAATAAGGCACAGACCTTGAAAATAGGTAATTTAAACTACGTTTTAATATTTTCTTTTATATAATATCACTGATATTGTAGTGAACGAGAACATAAGTAGGGACAACCGAATGTATTTGGACACGAAATTACAGATTTTTTAGTGAAATTTGAGAACTATACAGCAAATACTTCGCTTACAAAATGTCGATCAATTGTTTTAGACTTCATTGTTCCTTCGTCTCCAAACCAATCATTCTCTGTCCTTGTTCTCTTCTCTTCGATCTTCTTAACCTTTTGCCACCAGGTATTTCACTTTCAATTGATGACAAATATGACTTATATCTTTCGACATCAGTAGCAGACACCACAATATCAGCTCGAAAGTATAGTTAATCTTAAGGATAGATTTTAATTGAAGCTAATTAATATACAAACCAATACTTATTGTGGAACCAAATAGTAAACTAAAAGATCAATTCCGCTAGATGAACTATGATCATAAATTTAAAATGTCACATGATTTTGTATAGAAGAAATAAATAACTGTTAACTTATTAATCATTACTCATTGATGATATGATAATCATATTATTTAAAATTTTATCTTCAGTACGAATGTGTTAATTAAGGATTGTTGAATCGATTATCAAAACAATTTGCCTGTGGTAAATTTATACATGACCATTCCAAAATGTTAGCCATAAGAAACCGATCCTGTAAACCTTATAACTTTATGATAAAAGTTTCAATAAGGAAAAAGAATCTTGATATGTGGTAATGAAAGTAAAATATGATTTATCACTGAGTGTGTTGAACTAAGTACAGCCTGTTATTGATTTCTACTCCAGACTCATTAAGAGTGAGTACTTGTAATTATGTTGAATGAAGTATTATTTAGTCGATACTCTCGTTCTCTAATCTGGGTCCTGAATCCTAAATTTGATGTAATGTGACTAGTCTCATTGTCGTAATACACCTGAGGGAGAAATATATTTTAAACTATCCGTTACATTAAATCTATATCTTCAGGTCTGGAATGAATATACATTGGTGAAATATAACTTAACAGAAACAATAGATAAGTTAAAAGTTCAGAATCTTAGTCATTCCCATGAAGTGAAAGCGAACAAAAACAACTCTTAACATACAAGCATATGCACATACGCTATCTACCACGTAACTGAATTGCGGACGTCCGTTACCTATAGATCGTGTCACATCGGATAAATGTCCCGCTATAGCCTAAACTTTTTTCTCAGCATGCAGACAACAATCGGGCACCAAGCTTTTAGCTTTTGTGATAACAGAATTATAGAGTCAGAACCCAACAACTGACAATCCAACTCTAATCACATGGTGGGCTTTTTTATAATCTGTATGTGAAATAATAAGAACCAGGTATTAACGCCAACACAAATAAGGATCTAATGCAACTGTTAAATATCAGAAAAGCTACTGCATAAAGACAGTTCAGTGATATTTAGCCTAAGAATAACAATATGGAAAACCGAACTTAGAGGAAGGCACTCATTGTTTAAAAAACAGGCAATTACGCCGAAAACTATTGAATAAACAGTCTCAAAGTCCTTGAAGTATATACGTTTGTTTAGGGAAATGGTTAGGCCTAAGCAATTACTAGAGAAAGAAGCGAAATAGCCAGGATTCATAGTTCTATAATCAGAACGCTAATTCCACAAAACAATAATAATAGGTTAGATCGACAAGTGGTTGGGACATTAATACTTCCCTGAACATTGAATTTCAGCTTGAACAGAATTAATATCCAGCATGGCACTACTGTACCATAATACGAACTGCTGAATTCTTTGATTGCTGGTTCAAGTTGACGACGTTCTGGTTACAGTCGTGTAAACGAATTAAATTGGTGATTGAACACATTAGATCATATTAGCTTAAGTTGTCAGTGGCACAGATTGTCTTTTTTCCCATAAACCGTCAACACTTTGTCATTCAACAACTTTTATTCCGTTTTTTTAACAATACGCCTACGATTTTTATTTACTATCCTGATTATGAAGAGTGATATTCCAAACCGCACAACGTTTACTTTTCTGTTACATGTAGTAGTAGTCACATAGGGTACAAGGTTTCGAATATTTTTTTAAAAATACACTGAAATGAACAGTTGGATAGCACCTTTAGTACCGTCTTATAAAATGCTTGTAATTTATAGTTACGCACAGAAACTTACACATTTTTAGGGTTTCAGTTCGATTACTCATATTACAAAAAATAAACAAACTGAATTTCTTTATTATTTTATAATCGTAGTGATTTTTCAGTACGCACAGAATTTGACCAAGTAAAACATGTTTTTAATGTTCCATAAAACGTATTTGTATTATTCATAAATGAGATTGTATACACACTAAATAAATAAAGAACACGGGGAACTCATCAATATCTTTCAACCAAGGTAGATAAAATTTCAAAGCAAACAAACATATATATGTGCGAAATGCAACAAATTACAAAAAGCAAACACCAAAATAAACGAAAGGAATGAGATAATACTTGTCTGAACATATATTTAGTAAGATGTACAAGAATGTGTATAAATGCGGTGCATCAGTTTAAGGTAGAAAAAGAAAAGGTAAATAAGGCACAGGTGAAGGCTTATGTGTGTGGATAAGCAAAATGAGACAAAAACATAGAGAGTGACTGGCAAGAAGATTGGATAGCAAACTCTTAAAGAGAATATAGAAATAAATAAAGGAACGTCCAAAAACAATAAACAAATAAAATTATTCACAGAAATAATACATCTTCACACAACTCTATAAGATAGTATTATTTATAAATTGAGTGGGTGTGTGTGGATATACGTGAAAAACGTTGACTGGCATAATTGTTAAACAAAGCAGGGAAAAAATAAATCAGAAAAATAAACAAACATGTATGTTGTCAGCAGTTGGTAGTTAAAGTGAATAAGAATATCAAATGCAAGTAAGTATAATCCTATGAATAAGGTTATCACAATGGTTGAGTAATACGAGAATAAGACAATAATGTACTCTAAAATATAGTAAAGATTTAAAAGCACTAATTTGACCTGCTACAAAATATTATATATATATATATATATATATATAAATCATATCTAACCAGTAAGTAACTTAATGTTTCCATAAAAATTTAGTGGAATTATAGAAATCATGAAACTTGTACTAAATGAACAGTCGCTGACAAGCAAGGGAACGTTTTCTTAAGGATAAAAGTCACAATATCAATGAAAGTAGGAAATCAAGTGTTCTACAAAAAATAGGTACACTAGATGAAGGAATAATCGAATCAAAAACAGTGCTTTACATAAACTGAATAAAGAAAGGGATAATGGAAACAGCAGAAAAATAAAAAGCAAGAATGACGTGACAAGGATGAAGTCATTTTGTAAATCTGGATAAACTTTGCAAACATCTAGAGATCGTGAAGATGATATCTCTCTTTTATATTAGTTATATTACTAAATCAATAACAAAGGTTTCCCTGGTTTTCCGACATCTGATCGGATTAAGGTATCAGTTGTGCATTTCTTGTTCGGTTTTACCTTCTTTTTATCCAATGATACATAAGTAACAAGCCTGATAAATAAAATTGAACCATTTGACAGTATTACTAAACTTATAACTATACAAAAGAATGATGCAGATCAACACTTCATAAAAATTAGTTAAGGAAAGGTGACATTCAGCGTTTAAATTGCATTATGTATACATACATACATGAATACTAAGAGATTTATTGATACGATTTCAAAAACGTGAAAGGCATGAAGAGCACCTATAGAACTCGAACAATCACATAACATCATGTGCGAACCATCCTAAAAAAGACTTGGTACATTATTATTTGGTTGGATTCTTTAGAAAATTACGATACCATAAAATGATATACAGAAAACGAGACACATGAGGCTCTGAAAAAATAAGAAACCGAAAGTGCGCTAGAAAATAAAGAGGATCACAAAGCTGTGATCGAGAATCTGAAATCTGCGCATATCTTCTATTTTCTAAAAAATATAGATTATTTCTCATTTTAAGTATTTGAATTCTAACTAGTAAATCACATGTTATATCTATTAGGACTTCGGTAATCACGTAATACCATTAGCCCTCATGTAGTAGACGTGGTTTATCACACAGAACGAAAATGACTGCTACTCCATTTTCTGTATGTTCCTGAATATGTTTACTTAAAAGACAATAAAGGTTGGGTAACGTAATCAGCAAATGATTTTCACCGTCCCACCAAGTTATAAACAAGATGACCAATGAACGTTGATATCGTTTAGACTCATTGTGAGTGAATATATTGACTGGTAGAAGCCAACAACAGATATTTAAGCAGACATCACCAATGTTTCGTTAGATTACCATTTATTTGAAACATGATAAGAGATGACGTCTACCGAATTCGTACAGACGAACTGACTACCAACAACATTTACAAACCATTATAGTTGGTGAAAACATAAGATTCAAATATCTAACATTTCATTAATTTAAATATTCCCACAAGATATTGCTAAAACGAAAAAGATATCTAGGCGAATAACTGTTTCCAATGACTTTTTCTCCAGATGGAACAATTATAAATTCATGAAGATTATGTTACGATAAACAGTGTATCAAGATATACATATAACAGGATTTAAAATGCTTACCTAAGCAAAACCATGATATATTAGCAACTGCGACTAACGGATCTAAAGCAATTATTGCTCTGCAAATACTACGCAATGCACTCTTGAAAGCAAAGAATGCCAGACGAGTGTGACGATTAAACTCATCTTTTGGTGGATTTTCCCCTGTAGGACATTCAGTTGTCGATGAATAAGTGGCTCCAGAACTTTGCTTATAAGATTGAGAATGATCATGAACGTTTTGTGAATGATATGGAGAAGTCAATGAACTTGGAGTAGTAGTAATATAATTAATCTTCCATCGCTCATGAAGTACTTTTGACAATAACCATAATTTACAATCATATGGAAGGAACGGTAATAAAATTCCAAATAAGCAAACAATCAAACTTAGAATAAATAAGGAATTATAAAGTAGATTATGAAGCAGAATGATGCTTGTTCTGGAGTTTTCTGATTGACTATCACTGGTGCCACGACAGATTGTTAACGTACCTGCAAAAAAAAGATTAAAACAAAGTTACTTCATGTACGAAAGTAAATGATAAGTTACTAACAGGGCTACTTTAGATAGGAAATTTCCTTAGAGGTAGTACAAAACGGGAGCTGATAACTGAATACAAATTATAAATTAGCTGTTTTCTATGGGCGGGGATGAACAGATGAGAACCTTTAGTTTAAACAGGATTAGAGTCACCACCGGAAAAAGAATAAAATTACAAATTACATAAATGTTACAAAACTCTACTATATTATGACTATCGATGTAACGAAGGGCACCCATTGAGACATTGAAGATGCACATTGATTTGACCCAGAGCGAAGGTCTTCCCTTCACATAACTTCAAATTATGGGTCGACTAAAAAATATAATCTGAAGTTCAGCCGAATGGAACGTTTTCCTTGGTGATCTTGAAAGTTTTTTTCCAGCTACAGTGTCTCCTTAAAACTGAATATCCATGAAGAGAGTCTTCTTTGGTGCTATGAATACTTACGTTGTTTTGCTTTCACATTTTTCTTAGTGAATCAAGGTGGATATCCATTGTTGATCAGTATCTACTGTAGTTTATCAAGTTCAATATCGATTTTATTCTCGGCACAGATGCGTATAACCCTGAAACAGAAAGAATGGATCAGGTCTCTTTTTTGCTTCAGTGGGACTTCTGAAAATTCGTGTACTGACAACACCATGTTGGCTTTCTATATGTCAATCTTTGAAGGGAACAGTCAGGTCTCCTTCTTACCGAAGCATCTAAGAAGTAGAATTCCGAATCCGACTCTGATTTCATCGTGAACTCAATTGATTGATGGCAGTTGTTGAACGCGTCCAAGATGTTGACGCTGATAGTTTTGTCACAAATAACGAAAGTGTCATCTAAGTATGTTTGGTGTACACAACTTTCAATTATTAGCCTAAGTATGTTTCCGAGATTGGCAATGAAAAAGTCAGCTAGAAGTGGGCTGACTGTTGAGTTCATAGCTACGATGTCAGTCTGTCCATAGAACTCACCGTTAAACTTAAATTGGACGTTGAGAGTAAATCAAAAAAAGTATTTCCTTCAAGTGATAGCGGAACATCAACGTCGAGTTTGTTGTTTTCAATATAATCACATAGTAGGTGAATTATTTCTGTTAGAGAGATATCTAGTGACGTCACCTAGGTTGACACGATATTGGATTAACAATCGATTGAGTTGATTTCTGACCGGTCGTAGAATTTCAACTAGCCGTTTGACCATGGCGTGATGTGGAGAGTTATATCTTGTATGGGAAGTAGAGGGGTATCCTTATTTGCTTCAGGAAGGCAATATAATTGTGGAATAATGGGTCCAGTTGGTCTGTTTTTCAAAGAGATCTTTCATTTCCTTAAGGATTTTAATTGATTTCCGCTCACTTTGATCTGTAGCATCTCTTTGAACTTTTTCTTTAGGGAATTTGTTAGCATTAGAGAGGATGCAGAACACTTGAAATATAGTCCCTTCGATTCATTATAACTGCCAGGACCTTTGTCTGGACGACTTAACGCTATATCTTTGTTTCTCAATAGATCCAATAGTTGGAATTTCCTCTCTAGAAAGTAGTCTAGTTGTTGACCTTGTATTGGTATATTAATTACGACAATTCACAATGTTTAATTTTCAAGTTCAATTTCTTTGTTGTATAAAGGGATAAGGCCTATGTTTGGTGGGTCAGGCTTTCAAACTGAATTTTCGTGCCAAGCTCATTGACATTTGTAGAAACATCACAGAATTTTGGACCTAATAAGTGTTTGCAATTGAATTATGGACAAAATGATATTAGAGCACTTAACGACGTATTTCTCAGGCATTTCTGGAAAGGAATTGTGCAGCTCCATTGGTTTTAGACTTCTCAGAGACTTCACATATGTCAGCAATATTTTTACAATACCTGTTAGATGCATTTATATTCTAGCCAAGACAAAGTGAGAATGAATAAAATAAACTAGTCACCGATAAGTGATTAGACTTCCAGAAAACGTCTAGCTGATAGATTTTGTAGATTATGCTACTGAGTAAAATTGAAGTATAAGCTTTCATAAAAATACAACCAATTAATCCTAATAGATAAACACTCTGTACGTCAATAGCGTACATTATTTGTCCTAACTTAATATCTGACACGAAGTCAGGAAACTGAATATTGGAATATGTATACATTGTACTATATAAGCAAATACCAAACACCTAGACAGACAGTGTAAAAGTACATAAGAAAACAAAGGTAATTTATTCATAATTTTAAATATCTACTTGATTTTGATCTATTTTTCTGTGCTTTGACTGTAGAGAATACGTTGGAGAGACCCACACATTTCGTACGATCCAATGATGAGTATGTTTTAGAAGCAATAGGGCGATTTTCTGACTCAGTAAGGCTTCTAAAAGCTCGTGATAAAGATGCTGTTCTTAAGCTTGAGGTAGACAAACCAACATCATGATAACGACTGGGCCAGGTGCTGCATGAGTCTGAATCTTGGATGGCAACATTATGAGACGGGTTACGTGAAATAGTTGAACATATATAGTGCTCACCTAAAAAGGAGAAGCAAGAATGTAAATCATGACTAATAGAAATAAGTATAAATTTTGCCTAATGAAATCATCGTTACTTCCTTTTTAAACCAAAAACAATAGAGAAACAACAAATAACGGTAATCAAGCCAGAAAATTAATGGTTTTAAGTATCTTGAAAGACATTGATAGATCTGTCTGAACATAAATCCAACCTATTAGTTGACTAGATAGAAATAAATGAAAGTGAACGGCACAGACGATAATGTATTCAATCCTGATATCTCTCTAGAACTGATGAAACAAATCCCCTTACCGCATATCCTTTAAGTACGTCTTAGCCTATCTGTAACCCAAGGTGGATTCATCACAGAGCACTGAATGCTCACAAGCCCAGAATCGACTATATGTCAGCTGACTACAGAATCTCCTATTCAGTCCACAGCTACTGTAACTCTTTACCCCAGTATGTGGTTAGGGTTTCATTAGGCGATGGATTCAAATAAAAGTTCAAGTAACTGAGAGACCCCCATCGCCAGGAATAACACATACCATCCAGCCCTGTTTTTTCCAAACTCGTATGGGGATTAAAGGCTAATGAAGGCACTAGGACTTTGAAAAACACCAGCTGGACTAGTTTATCAAATAGTTATTCAACTGAACTAGGGAAGTCGCAAACATCTAAGACCAGTGAAGACAGTTGGGAGTATTTGACCACACCAGATATGGAGAAAACAAACTACTGTTTACGGAAACCTACAAAAAGCGGAGCCATCGTATGAATCGAAAAACTGGATCTTGAAAAAGTCCTTTGTATCATCCGTTATTGAAACTCCGGAAACTGAAATATCTCTGAAGAAAATAGTCAAGTGAAACTGATAGAATTACGTTTCAACAAATTCACCAGACTTTAAAACGCCCTTGCATACTGATAGTAAATACTTGGAACGTGCTGTAGATAAAACTGAGTATTCAGTGATACAATCTTAAAAGACTCCTGAATTTACCTTTGAAGCGCAGTATTCTTGCTGATTTATTAACAATCAACACTTGGCATGTGTTGCAAGTGCCTTCAGTTGAATAGTGAAAAACTATGTTTGATGGCTTAACGAGGACTTCCTTGCTTGGATCCAGCGACATAACGAGTTTTACAAGACAAATAGCTGGATAAAAGTCCGTCACATCCTCACTTGAATATTTGCCGTGACGTTAAGAATTGTATTGTATACATGACCGTTCAAATTTCAGTCTTTGAGGATAAGGTTAAAAGACTGATTGGTCTGGATTATTCCTAACGGTATATTTTTGCCGTAAGTGTGGCCCAATCTGTTCGACTGGTGACTTCATTTAAGTTCACATTCGGCTATGGAGTAAAAATAACACGCTTGATATTAGATATTAATGTAACTGATATTAGTTGAACAGAGATGACTACTGTAGGATCTGAAAACCCTTTGGATATTAGGCTACTGACGGCGGGAATGGAGCATGCATGTATAAGAGCCCACATATTTTGATTCAAATAAGTGATCTTTGTTAAAATCATTTGTAATCATTAATACGGTCGAGGATATTGCCTATTTAAATGTTTTCCACCCGTTGAAAAATGGTGATTATGCTGTTTTGTCATTCACGTTTGAAGCCTGTAAAGTAACGTGTGATTTCGCTTTAACCTCACCTAAATGTGCTGGGTGCAAAAATATCGGCCATGAAGGAATTCCCCGTATCAACGGGTTCGTCAGTAAATACTAGATCATTAATTGAAGAAGCATGGTCCGTGCCTAAATGTAGGCTTAGCTTAGGTAAGTCTCCTTTTATAACGATCTCAGTATCACTTGCATCAAATGACTGTCCACCACGGATAACTAAACAGGTCAAGAAACAGCTTAAGCGTAGGGAAAGGCATTGCAGTATGTTTATATCTACGGTCACTGAACAATACAGATCCACTTACTGTGGGACCAGGGACGCTTGTAGTAAGTAAGACTAGATATTCATATGAAAAGCAATTGTTTAGGGATTGAGAAAGTACTCCGAAAAGGTTGTCCTAATAAATATAAAGAGAAGTGATGAGATCCCATCACATCTGATACAAAATAATCTCTTGATACCGGCGAGGAATGATCTTGCAAAGTCTGAAACTTCATTGGAATATTTAAGTTCAGTGTTTTCTTCCGACCATGGTAAAACACCAACAATTAATTAGGATGACGGCTTGCCAATGGATCCTGTGGTTAATGAGAACGGAGTTGTCTTACGATTATTTCAACATCTTATGCCAGATGCGTTCGGTGATTCCATCTATATTCATCCTACGATTATGAAAGCCCTGTTGGATGTATATGCTGAACCTCTTATACTACCGTCTGATATGTATTTATGTAAGTGTGAACTGTCAGGGGATTAGAAAAACACAGTAACCTGTTTGGTTTATAAAGCGGGGAGTAAAGACCTAGTAACTGCCGGCCTGTTAGTCTAATCTGTGTAGTTGATATATTTCTAGAAAAGATTATTCAGATGACCACTTCAAATTATGTGGAATGGACCAATGTGGTTTTAGGAAAGGCCTCTCATACTTCACAAATCTATTCTTTTCAAGAAAAGATTGGGCCGCGGCGAAAGATACAAATGTTCCATAAGATAAAATTTTTGTAGATCTATGTAAAGCCTTCGACATCGTCTCTCACCTGAGTCCTAAATTAAAACTGGAAAATTTCGGAGTCCACTGTGAATTAAATCCCTTCTGTAATCCTATTATTCCAGCCTCATTTAGTTTGAGGTTTCGTAGTCATCTCTAAGGAATAGAACAAGTGACTTCGCTACTCTCAATAGACTGTGTATTTACGGTACGGAAAAAGAGATCCTTGAATTGTTCCACGTGGAACTATACCAACGAAAAGTTCCTATGATTATGTAATAGGATTTGATCGTCTACGTTTTTCACTCAGAAAGTTACAGATCCAATATTTCAACCGTTCTACATTTTCTGTTATAATGCGAGGTAATCCTGACCAAGTATCTAAACTTTCACCCCTGCCCGAGCCTTGCAACCAAGTGTGGTTTGGGTAGCTCTCGATGTGTCGAACCTCGAAACCCCAATTTTCAAATGTTAGCATTGGGGTCTGCTTCTACAAAGGCCGCTGTTACACTGGGTGTATTCGTTTGAATTTAATACTATTCTTGGATAGAATGAAGAAATACTCCGTAAATTTTGGATCGTTCAGTCGCTTTCTAAGAAGATGTAACAGAAGACATAATTTGCGAATCTCGCCCAAGTGTTTTATTGGACAAAACTGTCATTCCCTCAATTTTTCGTCTTTTATTTTAACTTTTACTCAAGGATTTTGGGCAAGCTTAAAACAATTCATATCCACAAACAATCGCGAGCTATGTATATATACTGAAGTCTCCAAGTACCTGCATCCATGCCTGAATTAAATGTAACAAATTTAGACAAACACGCAATCTACTTAGTCCCCTTTTCAAAGACCTACACAGGGTAGTTGCGAGAGGGCCGGTGTATTTTGTCGGACGAAAACACGAGAGCATATAAGCCATAAGTACAGATAAGTTGAATCGGACCTATGTATATAATTAGCCAACATATATGGTGCTAGACTATCTATGTGAAGAAATTATTAAATGACCGACAATTGCGAACGACAATTCTCCCGATGTTAACTTAAAAGGTCAGGTGACCACAATTGATTATTCAACCCGACATACCCAAAGTTCAAGATTATCTCCAAAGCCTTACCAAATATTTGTTAGAACTTATGTTCATTAATTTTTTTACTTTGTGTATTTAATTAAAGAACAAGCAACGCCAGATCTTTTTGCGCATCATCTGGCCTTTCCTGAGGAAAATAGAGGATAACATCGAATTATTAGTTACCTTAACAGGTATTTCATCAATCCCCACGCATATCTTTTTTCACGCGTGTTATATTGATGTACATTACTAAGTATATTACACATGCGACTAGCCCCCTGAACATTTCAACGAAAACTATAGAACATAAACACAATAGAGGAGTGTCACAGACGAATGAAGGATATTCAGCTGAGGTGAATGATGTGTTCAAAGTACCCCGTGAAATTAACCATACCTCAATACGGTTCTACTAGAAGAAGCGAATAGAGGGAGAATTTGACGGAAGCGCAAAACGAAAATCCCGCCCATATTTACTACACGACCCAAACAGTGAATTTTCAAAATGAAGACCAATTCGAAACATAATTCAGGCATTTCGTCGAACCTATCAAAACCACTCCAGACCTTCTAGCATTTATTACACAATGGGCAACTATATGTCCGATCATCAGTGTAGAACACACTACAATATGGACACATGAACCCCAGGAGATGAAATTTCGTTGCAAGCAAACTTAACAGCCCCAACGCCGTATCACCTTTGACATAGTGTTTGTATTAACTGAGGAGTGTATATAATACTATTGCTCGCTCTATTTTAATCACAAGAAAACGAATCCACGCATATTCACTGAATTATTTCTTACTCCAAGGCCGACCTGTTCGTCACTGTTAAAGTGCACCTAGGAATATTATGTTCAGTAGTATTACTCAAACATATTCGTACCGCGATGAACTGGTATATAAAGAAGGTTAAGAAAAGCGTTAGGTTGTTTGTCAGTCTTTAACAAAAAGGCCGCCAATCAACACCCCTCAGTTGACTAACGATATAAGTTATATCAGTCGGTGGAATGTAATAAATGCAAATGTAACGGATGGGCTGTACATGAACATTATATGAGGTGCAGGAAGCAATTCCTACAACCCATTCAGCACCTCATGATACCAAACTAAGTAAAGTGCACTATGCGGATTTTATCGTAAAGGTACAATTTAAAACACCTGAGGAAAATTTTTATCACTATTGTAGAGTCATCTGAAATATTCTGCGGTTAAAAGCATCAGGTATCGTTTTATTATGTCGAATATCTATGTAATAGAAGAAAAGGTTTGAAAGTCCTGCAGTGATCTTTTGTTTGACAGTGTCGTTTTTTATTCTTTCACCATGCCTTATCCTTTGGTGTCTTCCCAGCACTGTAGCAATAATGCTTTTCATTCTTTAGCCTTCTTTGTCTAGGCCTTCATTATTTGACTTTGGTTAAGATTTTCACCAACTATTTAAATTAATTGTTGTATGTGGTTGATAAATGTTGACTTTTAACTGACCCTTGAAAACGGTTACTTGAATCGTTATAGATAGATACTTGAGTCCCTATGCTGGAAGTAATTTTATTGGTTCTCATGTGCCGAGTACTAATTTAGTAATAACTTATTTGATATTTTGTTGTATGCCAGAAGAATTTTTGCCTGGGTAGCATATACTGTATTGTAAGAGGTATTCTGTATTTTTCATAAGTCTAGTCTTCATTTCAAAAGTAAAATCGATCAAATTGGGTGCATAGTATGTGTATCTGTTCACTTTGGTACGGGTGACTCAGAATAGTTTTGTACGTCATACGGAAGAGCATAGTTAGGCCAAATCGTATGAACTTTAGTGCGTTAGTCCTCCGCGGTCACACTAAATTTTGGAATTCCAGTCGCCACATCATATACGGTACTCCATACTTCAAAATGAATGTAGAAGTTTCTATAATCTTGACATCCAAAAAATAGAAGGAAGTTGAGAGTTGCCAGCCAGATCTGACCCATCTTCATACAGAATGTATTAATTAGCTGACCTTTATTCATAACTTCTAGCTTCCACTGTTGGCAGGAACTTGGTATGATAGGGATGATCTCTACATTTACTCTATCGTATTATCACACAACTTGTTCAATGAAGAGAATATTCTATAGAATCAGAGAACCTACACAAACTTACGCCAGAATTTCCTCATTATCTGTCATTCGACCACGCGGACCGGACTACCAGTAGACTCATGTTGCAGTGAAACTATAATTATGTTCAGAAGTCTCCTTCATGACTTTATTTTCGAAAGTGGTTCGCGTCACCTATGAAATATCGAAGTGATTGCAAATGATTTATAGAAAAGAGTTTCGACACCTAACTAACTGTCTTTAAAGCAAACTAGAAATTTTGAAACTTTGTTAGCTTATTTTATTTCGTTTTCTTTCTTTTTAACCGAATTTTCGAAGGCCACTTACGTTCATAGTTGTTATGGTAATTATTATTATCACGACTGGTCTCCTGACACATTAGATATTCTTTTCTCCCCTTCATTATCTTCACACTCTCTATAATCCTTCCAGACAAATTTTATTGCTAAGCATACAAATTTTATAATTAAAAACATATTATCTTGCGTTAGACTTAAAAACATTATTTTTTCAAATCCGTTTTATCTTCACCACATATATATGGTACATACAAATTGATATTTGACGGTTGTTCGCTGCAATCAGTTGACACTTCTATAACATCATCCTAAACGAATATTGTTCAAGCTCTTATCTTACAG